TTTATTTAACTATGATACGACTAAATATAATGTATGCGGTTAGTCTTGTAAGCAAATTATGCATGCTCTTAGATAGCGTCATATGAAGACTATCCATATGATTCTCATATATTTTAAGTCATCACTAGGTAAAGGTATTTGGTTGAAACCGAATGGTCACACTAATATTATTGGTTATTCTGATGCTAACTGGGCAAGTAGTGTAATTGACATGAGGTCCACTACTGGTTGTTTTACCTTGGTCGGAGGAAACTTAGTTACTTGGAAAAATAAGAAGCAAAATGTCGTTGCACGATTCAGTGTAGAGGCCGAATATAGAGCTATGGCTTCAACTACAAGTGAATTAATGTGGTTAAAATACCTACTTTGAGATATGGGGTTCCCAACAGTCAATCCAACGGAGATGTTACATGATAATCAAGCTGATATGCATATAGCCTCGAATCCAATTTTTCATGAAAGAACCAAGCATATTGAAGTTGATTGTCACTTTGTGAGAGAAAATGATCAGTAAAAAATTATTAGTACTCATTATGTTTGGAGCGAAGACCAACTTGCAGGCATGTTTACCAAAGTTGTTGCGAAGACAAAGTTTCATTATATACTGTCCAAGTTGGGCTCCATTGATATCTATGCACCAACTTAAGGAGGAGTGTTTGATAGTTATAGAAACCAGATATTGAGTTTTCTATCTTGTATATTACAAGATTTTAAGTTTCTTATTTTGTGGGATATTGTAGTAAGATTTATTTCCCAAAAGGCAAGAATTGTAACTCCATAAATATCTAGTAAATTAGAGTAATCCCTAGGCACCATTGCCGAACTGCATATATCTTGTTTGTTCTTCTTCTCTCTCTTTCGCCTCTATTGCTTTTATTATAAATTCTACACCTTTCAACTATAAAAGAGGCAAAGACCCCCTCATTAGCTAAGCAGTCTTTTGTTTCATTTTTCTTTATGTAAAGGTAATTGAAAGAGACCACCAAACCTCTAGAAATGTCTTTGATTTCATCAACTACGGGTACGATATTCGACCATATTCCTTAGCCAACTCTGATATATCGAATAACATGAATCTCCTTCCACCACCGGCACTCTTGATCCATCGTTTAGCAGCTGCAGACCTTCTAGGATTGTTCAAGCCTCACATTTGTTTGTTGAACACTCTAGTACTGCCCTGAATAGCTGAGGATATAGTTTTCTAAATGGTCTCCAATCTGTCCTCTAACCTCACCTGGGTTTGTGTTTTTGAAGGAGCTAGGGTCAAAATTCAACTTAAAAAGCCTTCTGATGGTTGTTCCCAATTGTATAATCTTTGATTTCTTGGTGATGTCATTTTGATAACCTCTTTAAATTGTGTTAGTAGGTTTAGTACGTCAATTGAGCTAATTCCTCAAAATGTTTTCATGATTTTGTTGTAGCCATAAGTTTCTGTTTGGTTTAGGCTACCATGGCCTTACAGTTGAAGGCTCTATTGTTCATATGGGGTCAGGGACAAATTGACAATTTTCCATAAGATAAGCTTGACTTTAGGAAACGGGGATATGGCCACTGTGCAAATAATCGGTCAACTATAATAGCCAAATACATAAGGAAAACATTTATATAAGGCGTCAACTATATACTATATGAGAAAGGTCCACCTAAAAAGCCTACCATAGAAAGTTGTTCTTATGTTGGAAAACCCTCAAATCGATCATCCCAACTTCAAGATTTATAGACATGAAAAAAGGGGAATTTTTAGTGCAAAAAATAGTGCATCTTCTAACCCATTATCTGGACCGTCCATTTTCAAAAAATTTAAGTGTTTATAGATCTACTTGATCGTCACAATTTTTGGAACTTTAAATTTCATAATTGGGGGATTTTCATATTATCCCAACGCTTTGTAGCATCAAAACTACCATTTTAGCATAGTTTTGAGGTGCACCTTCAATAATATAAGTTTGCCACCTTATACAAACCTCACCCAATACATAATAGACGCATGCTTGGAAATATTAGGCCTCTACGTCTAAGGCAGTATGTGTAAGGTCCTCGTAAACCCCTCACTTGCGGAACTGGGAATCTCAAACATCAGGATCATGTACATAATTGTCTAAATACGAAATATGTGAATCCAACCATAAATCAAGTACAAGAAATAAATTAATAAACATATTCACACTACAAAACACATGATTTACGTAGTTCACCCATAGGGCTACATCCACGGCCTCGACAAGTAGAAATCCACTATCTCAATCAAGATTATAATTTTGGGTTACAAGATATAATACCTCTCTCTAAATATCAGTAAAAAAAAATCCTCATCCATCTTCCATTCTAAACCCATTTTCCCAATCGAGCAACATCGTCGATCAACATCTTTCCCATCACCATACCGCTATCAAGAGAGCACCTTGAGAGCAATCAAGAGATTTTCTCTCTCTAAAAGTGAAAACTTAACGAACCCAAAATCCCATGAGAATAAATATCAGCTCTCTCTTGGAGGCTATATCTCTCTCTCTCTCACTCTCTCTCTCTCTCTTTCTTGGAGATCCATTCCCATAATCTCAAATAGGTGACATTAAAAAAGATAAATATTATGTCTTCCATGACTCCTTTATATAGGTATCGCTTTCTTACTTTCTAAGAAAGCCTATTTTTTTTTTACCATAATACCCTTAGTTTTTAGAGGAAAATATAGATATAAGGATTTAGCTATCACCAATCGTAACAATCTCCACCTTGATAGTAAAATCACCACAATAGTCTTGCCAACATTCATTGAAATGATTTCTTTTCATTTGCCTCTATTGTAGAATTTTCACAAATATTTTGCCTTCATATTTGTCCACCTCAAACTATGAATCCATTTAGCTTCACGGTTCATCTTTTTCTTCATACAAGCTTTAGCCCCTGTACACACTTTGTGCTCTGATACCTACTTGTTCGGAACTGAGGCTACCTCGATTACCCCCTGTTGCAGTGAACCCCCCACTGCAACAATCTCATACCTCAAGACCATCTTACGAATCACCGGCAAATTGATTCCAAGAAATCCAATACCTAAAAATCGAAGATATGGTGTAGTAAATTTGATAAAAATATGATAAAATGAAGAGAAAGTAAAATAAAAACTATAATAGCATAACCACACAATACAAATCATAATCAAAGCACCTAAATACACATTATACGTGATTCACCAAAATCGACCTACATCCACAGGGAAACCAACAAAGAAATAATTCACTATCAATAGAAGAATTATAAGTTTTGGGGTATGTACAAATTACCTTACAATAGTAGAGGAAAAAATAAAAATTGATTTTTTCATATGACAAAGAAACCATCAACCGATTCCCTTTTTTGTCACCGTTGACCAACACCTTTTAAACTAAAACTTATTTTACATAAAGAAAACTATACAATAAGATCATTTATTTACAGTACAAAGAGATCAAATTTGCTATTGATCATTAGATATGAAATAGGGTTGTTGGGGCTATGTGTTCGATTGGGCATAAAACTCAAAATAAATTTCCCAAATTTTGAGATACATTTAAGTTGTCGGATTTGACGTCCAATGGCTAAGAGTTATTGTAACAACATTGTACCAAAAGTAAAGCAAAAACATGTATATAAGTTGTCTAATTTATACTATTGAAGTAAGGTGCACCTCAAAAATCCTCTGGAGGAGAGCGTTCTAGCATTGGAAAACCCTTCGATTAATCATCTTGACTTTGAGATGTATGGACATGAAGAAAAAAAGAATATCAAGTTATAAAAATAGTTCATCTTTTAAGAAGTTATTTTTAGACCTCATATTTTCAAGATTTTGAAGCGTTTATAGATCTGGTTGATTCGTACCATATTTAGAATTTTAAATTTCATAATTAGATATGAAAGTTGATTTTCAATCAATCATAAGGTCTCCGACATCAAAACTACATATCAAAGCAAAATTTAGAGATGTGATTTACTTTTGATATAAAGATCATAGGGTACCTGATATACAACTTATCGAAAGGTAAATGGTCCTAAAAATTCATGTATTTGAGGCAAGGAACTAAATTATTAGGTTGCCTTCCTGATGTGCACCCATTGTCCATATAAACAGTAGATACATGATGTGCATTCCTTACTAAGGGTATGACCCTTAATAGAGTAGAATGACTGATCAGCATTCGTGTACCCGATCGTAATTAGTTGGGAAAAGACTTTGATGATGATGATATATGATGTGCATCCTCATCCAAATAAACCATAGATATATTCGGGAAGAGGACGCATCTCAACAATTTGAATAAAAGCCACTTGAAATGAATGGGGCAGGTAACAGGCTAAGCCTGGATCGGGCTAGCCATGGCCCGACCCTACTCCCCTTAGTGCCAGCCTATGCCCGACCATGCTTCTATCATGGCTAGGCTGAGGCACCCTACCTCAATTATAAATGAAAAGAGATGTGAGGTTAGAAAGAGAATGAAAATTAAAGAAAGGGAGAAACATACAATTTGTTTTGAATTCCCCATTTAAGAGGTAAATTACCATAATTTTTTTTTATAAGTGTGGTTTTGCATAAGGTTGTAACTTTAAACAATCAAATTAATGTGTACTTCCAGACTTTATTATGATATGCAAATTGGTGTAAAAAATTCATAAGATGGTGTAAGAATTTATTTTCATCATTATTATAATTTTTTTTTCAACTAATTAAAACTGATGACACGAATTTTGATCCATCATTCTACCCTATCAAGACATATCCCCATTTACGCTTATCTCAACCATATCTAAAGGAATACATCTTCCTTGTGCATTTTTAAGATGTGAACCTCATAATTTTTTTTTTTATATTAAAAACAGACGTTTGTCGCTCGATAAAATCCACGTGGCATCAAGAGAGCCTCACCAATTTCTCACCCCGATGGAAGATAATAAGAACTCGGCGTCAGGCACCCCACACATTCCTATCCACCAGGGGAGTTTAAATTCTCTACCACATATTAACATTTCAAATAATAAATTTAAAATATTAACCAAACTTCAGAGAGTGTGAGGAGAGAGAGAGAGAGACGTTCATTACTCATTCACTGAAATCCAAATTTCTAACTCAAAACCACAACCAGATCACAAAACTGAATGCAAACCGGCACTGGTTGTGCCTCACAGGCTTCTCTCGAAACTCAGAAGGTCTCTCTGTGTAATGAAGAGATGGGATTTCAGTAAGAAGTGGTGAATTTAGAGAGAGAAAATTGGCGTCATGGCCGCAGTTGCAGAGGGTCTTCTGTGCTTACCTAGGTTAAGAGCAGCAGGGGGTTCAAAGAAATATGGACCTTCAGAGAACCCGCGGCTTTTGGGGAGAAAGCCATGGTTAGAGAGAGAAAGAGAAGATTGTCGGGGGAGAAAAGGAAAAAGAAGACTTGGGGTCCGTGCAGGGTGGGGAGAGATGGTGCAAAACCTGGTTTTGGGTGTTGGGGTGGGGCTTCCTTGCACTGTAATGGAGTGTGGAGACATAATATACAGAAGCACTCTTCCTCGATCTAATGGCCTTAACGTTACAGCTCCTGGTGTTGCTCTGGCTCTTGGTGCCATCTCTTATCTTTGGGCGACTCCTGGTGTGGCCCCTGGCTTCTTCGACATGTTTGTTCTTGCATTCGTTGAAAGACTATTTCGCCCAACTTATAGAAAGGTTCTTCATCACTGCAACTGCTCTGCTTCTTCGTCAATTTTATTCCTCGGTGTTTGGTTTTAGTGATTTGAGATTGTCGTTTTTTTTAATTCCAGACGTGTAATGAGTTATTTTTAATTTTTCTATTTTGGTTGAATCTGGTGGTTTTTTGCAGGATGATTTTGTTCTGGGTAAGAAGCTGGGAGAGGGGGCATTTGGGGTGGTTTACAAAGTTTCCCCAGCTAAGAAGGGTCCTGGAATGGTATTCTGAACTCTCTCTCTCTGGATGTATTTTCAAACTCAATTTTTTCTTTTTCTTTTTTAATTTATTACGATATTTTTTTGTTGTCATATGCATTTTGGTTCGTCGATATCATAACGACTGATTTGCCTTTCTTCATTCCTCCGGTTTTGAATTGAAATAAACTCGGGCTACTGAGGTTGCAAAAGTTTTGTAACTTATCCAGATCACTCTGATTTCTCAATCAAGAGCATCCAATTTGGGCCGAGGATTTCATTGGGCTTAGAAAAATTTTATGCTAGTCCTTGCTTTGTGATGATTATTATAAGGGAAATTTATGTATATATCTGTTATAGTTTATGTTATTACCAAAATACCAAATAGTCTCCGTTATTACTTGAAAGTCCATTTATTTCACTTCATAACGAAAATTTAAAAAAAAGACTTTTTTACTCTTCGTTGGTTGTTGAACAACCGAAAATAGGACAGAAGCTTGGAATTTGCATCCTTCTTTTTGGTTGTTGAACAACCGAAAATAGAACATTCAACATTCTAAAATTGGACATTTTCGGTTGTTCAACATCCGAAAATGTCTTATTTTTTATTGTTGAGCAACTGAAATTAGGACTGCATATTCCATAAGCTTGTTGGAATAAGTCTTATTTTCAGTTGTTCAACAATCGAAGACATGACATTTTCGGTTGTTCAACATCCGAAAATGTCGAAAATAGGATTGCTGTTGATATTTATCTTGAATTCTTGATATAGTTAGGAAAGTTGAGATTGGTTTGACGTACTTATCTTTGGGGCTTTATTCTCGCTATAAAAAGATGCTTTTCTAGAGAGAGAAAGCATGTGTGGAAAAGTAAGCCATACATAGGTGCACATTTGGGTTTGTCCTCTCTTGTAGAAAGAGAAAGTGCATAGAAAAAAATAGAAGGAAAAATAAGCCATAGATAGGTGCACTTTTGGGTTTGTCCTCTCTTGTAGAGAGAGAAAGTGCATAAAGAAAAATAGAGATAACTTTGAGGGTTTTTGCAGCGAGAGAAAATTGTAGAGAAGAAGGCTTTGTGGGAGATTACGTCTCTATTCTCTCAAGTAAGTTGTCTTGTAATTTTCTTTCTTTGATTTGGTGAAAACCATCGATCGTTTTCGCCTATAGATGTAGCCACAATCGTGACGAACCACGTAAATCCTGGTGTTTCTGTTTCTGTTATTTATTTCCTGTTTTATTTGTGTTGCCTGTTTCTTTTTTGTCGATTCTTTTTCTCGTACTTTATTTGCCAAAAATCAACCCGTCGGGTTTAGAACTTCCGCACGCAAAAACTGTGTATTCCAAAAGCTTGCTGGAATACGCAGTCCTATTTTCGGTTTTCACCAACCAAAAATAGAACATTTTTTGTTGTTCAACATCCGAAAATGTCTTGTCTTCGGCAGTTGAACAATTAAACATAGGATAGAAGCTTGGAATTTGCATTCTTATTTTCTACGCTGATAAATAAACAAATATTTCAAATGTTTAAATGAGCCCCGCTATTTTCGGTTATTCAAGAACCGAAATGAGCTTATTTCCGGTTTTTGAACAACCGAAAATTTAGCGAATTCGGTTGTTCAAAAACTGAAAAAGGGTAAAAAAGTCTTTTTTTTTAAAAAAAATTTCGTTATGAAGTGAAAAAATGGACATTCTAATAATAACAGGAACTATTTGGTATTTTGGTAATAATGGTAACTAGTTGTTATTTTGGTAATAACGAAAACTATAACGGATATATACCTAATTTTCCCTCGTTATAATGGCCTCTCTAAGGTGGTCGTTTTTTGTGATTTATTCAAAAAAATGGGTTGCCAAGTCATTGTTGAGTATCTTAGTCTTTATCTATCTGTTTTTGAAGGATGGTGATTTGGTGTTAAAGAAGGCTACTGAGTATGGTGCTGTGGAGATCTGGATGAATGAACGTGTGAGGAGAGCTTGTGCGAATAGCTGTGCAGATTTTGTGTATGGTTTTCTTGAGGTGTTCTTCTTTGGGAACCTCACATTTTAACTGTTGTTTTCTTTAGATTGATGGTGCATTCTTGCTAGTATATTGATACCATATTACTGTGATATGAAAAAAGAGAGATAATTCTTTTCTCTCCTCATGATTACAGAGCTCCTCGAAAGGAAAAGGCGGTGCCTATTGGCTTATATGGCGCTATGAAGGGGAGGCTACCCTTGCAGACCTGATGCTGAGTAAAGAGTTTCCATACAATGTTGGTATTTTTTGCCCCTCTAAACTCTTGGTAGCACATAGCTCTAAAAACTAGAGATGTTTCATTTTCCAAATGGGTGAATGGTTTGTCCAAAGTTCACTTTACCCCACAAATTATGTAATATTCTCTATAATGTTTAAAAGAGGTACTTGTATTATCCAAATTCTTCTTTCCTATAACTGGTGGCTTAGTAGCGGGGCTGTGAAGGAAGAAGGGAAATAGTTCACCTGGACTTGTTCTCCGGTCTCAATCAGTGTAGCTCACTAGTCTAAGTCAGAGTCTTGGACTTGCCTGAGCTATTTGAACTAGGCTAGACGCCCAATTCCGAACCGAACCCATGGGAAATGGCAAAGTCTGGCTGGTTACCAATATTTTACTATGTTTTTTGTTGGAACCTAGAGATTTCCAACCTGGGTTCTTTTCTTCCCACACTGAACTCACTATCGAACATTATACCACTACCATGCAAGTGGACAATGGGTTGGATGATCATTATACCACTACCATGCAAGTGGACAATTAGTGAGTGACTAGCCACCATAGTGATCACTGACATAATCCTGCTCATGCTTCTCTAAATCAGGAGCATTATTTCAAATTACTTGTTTGGAAGTTACAAATCCTTATCTACCATTCTTCATGTTTTTGGTAACAACAAAGTCATCATAGTGTGATCCAATTTCTTATAGAATGCATAATCACAATTATGCATGGTTGACATCGGTGGATATGTCCTCACAGTAGTCCTGCATACAATTGCTGGGATTTCTCTTGGTTTATGTTTAGGACTTATTGTCCAGTGGACAACCTTGGACTGTCCGATTTCAATTACCAATGTTGTGCATGTGGTGTCCCTTAGGCTTCAGCTTAGTGGTAGGCATATCTGTTTGAGTAAGGGAGGCCAGGCATTCGAATCCTTGAAATTTGTTTCAAAAGCCCAAACAAGTTAACAAGCTAACCTAGCCCTTTTTCTTCTGTTGCATTGGGGGTAGATCCATATGATCAGTCGCAAACATAAATTCCTAAATGGGTTATGTTATGCAGTCCATCGAAACTTTAGTTCCTTAATGGTAACTTTAAACTTTAAAAAGTTTCGTAACTCACTGGTTGATTTGTACTGGTGTAAGAGATTGCTTGGAGATCATAACTTGTAGAACAAAAGCATGGATTATTCCATGAAAGCTAGTAAGATTCTCCAAATCATCCTCAGAATATTAGAATGTCTTTTGATGGTTGTGTTAATCAACCAATATTTTAAAATCTTCTACACGTCCTTTGGTTTGTGTAATTGTGTTGTCAATCAACTCCCTCTTATCCATGGCATTGATTTGATTGTGATTGACCACCATGAAAATCATGATTCATCAGTGTAAACTTTCTTCCAGAAGATGAGTTCACAGAAGGTTTCACTTGTTCTATTTGGACTTATCCATCACCAGACAGGGCATCCTAATGATTCATGCCACAATTGTTTGTTTGTTTACTCTTTTTGCTCTCTATTTTTGGTTTCTTTTTATGTTTTGATCACTAGAAAGTTAGTTGTTGTTAATTCCGAGTCTTATTTATGTAATGGTTAACATTAAAATACCCTCATTCCTTTGGTATAGTTAGTTACAATTAAAATCATGTCATAGCCGGACTAAGCTAGTTCTATAATATCTTGGAAGCTAAAATTGAGGAACATCTGTTATGCCAAAAAATTAAGGAACATTTCATCTAAATTGTTGTGTTCGATGGGTGTGACTTTTCCTCCGAGCCTTCTGCAGGATTTCGATTATTAAAGAAAAGGGAAAACTTTATATAGAGCCGAGGCTCTAAACAATCAAATTAGAGCCTGCTTCAAAAATTTCAGTAGAAGAGGTTGTTTTGATGCTCAAATATCCTCACATTGATAACATCAAGATGCATGGACATGAGAAAAAATGGATTTCAAGTTTTGAAAATAGTGTATTTTGTAACACATTTTTGGACCGTTAATTTTCAAGATTTTCAAAGCTTAAAAGTTTATAAATAAACATGAAAAAATATTTTTAGGCTATCACAAAGTATTGAAACCGCATTTCTTGACACTATTTGAAGGTAGGCTCTAATTTGATTGTTTAGAGCCTAGGCTCTATACAAACCGCACCCTTAAGAAAATTAGTGTTCTTTGGTAGTTTATAGGGATTTTTTCGTTAGTTTCAACTTGTGTTACACAAATAAAATGATAACCTGAAGTAAGTGGAATTTTGGGGGCACCTACTGTATGTTGTTTGAAAACACATTAGGTTGATTTCTTTTATTAAACGTGAACCAAGTAGGTGGTATTAGCTCCCACATCTAAGTGGATTTCACTCATTGATTAAATTGATCTGGTCATGGAGATGTTATCTTCTACTTCTTAATGTGGTATCATCATATTCATATGCATCTAGGAAGATATTTCACGGTTGCGAGAACAATTAAATGAAATTAATATCATCAAACAAAATTGCCTGTACCATGCCATCGGGTACATGCATTTCTTTTTTGATGCTATTTGATTGACAAATGGAACTATTTGAAGCCTATTTTTTGTCTTGGCAAAAGCAATTTTATGTTGGTTGGTTCTTTCAAGATATCAAGTTTCTAACCTTACCAACTCATCCTAGGTGGAGAGGATGATTCTTGGGGAGGATCAAGGCTTGGAGAAAGGATTGGAGAGGGAAAACAAGATCATTCAAACAATAATAGGACAAGTTTTATTTGCTTTGGATGGTCTCCATTCAACTGGAATTGTCCATAGGGACATTAAACCCCAAAATATTATTTTCTCAGAAGGTAATATCTAATTGATGGTTAAATATTTATGTGATTTAGATTCCTTTTCTTTCAATTCTTATCAATTCCTATAAATTTGACTCGCCATATTGAAATTCACCAGAGGATCGTATTTTCAAAATCATTGATCTTGGGGCTGCGGCTGATTTGCGAGTTGGCATTAATTACATTCCAAAGGAGTTTCTATTGGATCCAAGGTATGGAAAGTATATCACAATTCTTTGGATGGTAGGATCTCTATTAGAATGACATGGAAGGCATATTGATGATTCAGAAAGGGATATTGATATTATCTTTCCAGTTACTTCTTGTTTTGCTATTTATTGACTTAGATGATCCCGATATGATATAAAAGGAAAAATAATTTAGGGAAAATATTTCCTTATCCCTTATTTTAACTTCCATATATTATGAGACCCAAGAACTGAAAATATTACTTGTAAGCAAAAGGTCTCCATTTTTTCTTTCTTACAACCCCCTGGACTCCTTTGACCATAAATTGTTGACCCAAACAAATACTAAAATGACACCATATTCAAACTCCATCTCTCTCTCTCTAAACTCCATCTCTCTCTCTCTAAACTCCATCTCTCTCTCTTACGTTCTCGGTGAGTTTACCAGCCAACGGGTTTAGCTTGTAGCTCAACACGAGCACACCTTCTTATGTGTGTGAGAGAGATGGAGTGGGTTTAGTAGAGAGAGAGAGATGGAGTTTGGGTTTTAGGGAGAGATGGAGTTTAGAGAGAGAGAGACGAGAGTGAGAGATGGAGTTTGGGTTTTAGAGAGAGTTTTGAGAGAGATAGACGATGATGTGAGAGAGAGATGGAGTTTTAGAGAGAGAGATAGTCATTTCATAAGTTGTTGAGGTCACCAATAAATGGTCAAAAGGGTTTAGGGGGTTGGAAGATAGAAAAGATGGAGTCCTTTTGCTTACAAGTAATATTTTCAATTCTTGGGTCTAATGAGATATAGAAGTTAAAAATAGGGGATAATAGGATATTTTCCCAATAATTTATTCACTCTTTAAAGTTGTCTACGAATATTACGTCAACTCAACTCATCACCAACGTGTCACTATTTCTCTGAGATGAGCACATCAAGCCCTTGAATTGTTTAATTTGTCCGAGTCAATTAACAATGGTGAGTTAGCAAAGTTTGTCTGCATTTGTGCACACTGTTTTTACCAAATTTTCCCTTTCTCCTGTCTATTTTTTAATTTGTTTAAATATGATATTCTAAATCATCTGACCTGTTAGGAGGTGCGAGTTAATACAGGTGGAAGGATTGAAAAGGCCAAGGGGTAGGTCCAAAAGGATGTGGTTGAAAGTAGTCCGAAAATATATGGGGATTTATGGCCTCATTGTGGGTATGGTCTTTAATAGAGAGCAGAATGACAGACCAGAATTCTTGTAGCTGAACCGAATTAATTGGGAAAAGGCAATGATGATATTCTAAATCATTGTATATATTTCTTGGAAATTGAGCACATTATTAATGTGCTACATAGACTGAGCTAGTCTACTGTGAGTCCAGATTCCTAAGCTGGTAATCTATTGAAAAGGACCATATCTTGCTCCATCCAGGGCTCTTTGCATTTAAATTGGATTGCTTGTTCATTATAGCTGTTCCCTTCTATAATTGCCAGCAATCAGACCTCTTGCCTATGAGGAACATCAATATCTATTAGAAGGCTGCCAAAATAGCTGTTTAATTGATTTGGAAATTTTAACCAAGTTTGGTTATGCTTGGGCTTGATTATTGGACTGTGGAACAATTCAGTTAAGCTTGGACGTTGGTGACATGTTGTAATTTTTCCCTAATTTACATAAATTTTGCAAAATAATCTTATGGGCATTTGTGCATGTAGGTTGCTAATCTTTTGTAGTGATACTTTGAAGAAGAAATCAAGTTGACTGGACTTCTTAACTGAGGCAGTAAAGCCCTTATAAATTTGGTTCCAAGTGCATATTTATATATTATATGCACATTTGCATCATGGATCCCTCAGATTTCTTGGACTTGTTGGAGCACCATAATAAGTTCGATCCACATCACATTTATAACTTGCATTTGTATTTTTTTTCTGGGTCAGTAAGTGGTTTCTCACTCCAACCATCGAGCCAGGAGGTCCATTCCTGACATTCATTTATTCAAATCGATGAATATAATTGTTGACATAGTATTTGAGCTGCCAGGGAGACCTAATGACTATGGATTCTTGGTTGTCATTGTCTTTTATAGAGCTTGTGCATCTTTGCCAGCTGTTACCCCTCGTAATGCTATATCCTCTTAAAAGATGCTTGTTTCTGCCTTTCAATTCTGTAAGTATTCAAATCATATACAGTTCTATATGGTTCTCAAGAAGGTCTGCATCTGAATATATCACCAACCATGATGAATTGGAAGGTAGATCTCCCTTAGAAAGTTCATATATCTGAAAAACATTTTTGTGTGTGATTTAGGTAAGCATAAATTGATACCTAATGCAATGTATCTCTAAGGTTCTCAAGAAGGTCTACATCTAAATATTTCACCAACCATGATGAATTGGAAGGTAGATCTCCCTTAGAAAGTTCATATATCTGAAAAACATGTTTGTGTGTGATTTAGGTAAGCATAATATGATACCTGATGCAATGTATGACTAATACCTGATCTAATGTATAACTAGAGGCTATTAGCAATTTTATAAAATATTTCTGCACAAATTTGTCCCAGATTTCAGATTTTATTTTTATTTCAACTGCATAGGTGATACCTCGGCCTAGTTTCGAAGTCTAGTTTCTGGTTTGGATGTGTTCTCATGTCATGCTATTGTAAGAATTTCCTAAGAATTTACCTTTCAGATTTTCTTTTCTTTTTTTTTTCCCCCAGTGATCACTGAGCTTCATATGGAAAAATTTACATGGTGCTTTTAACTGTAGGTATGCGGCACCAGAGCAGTATATCATGAGCACTCAGACACCGTCTGCACCCTCAGCTCCAGTGGCAACTGCCCTTTCTCCAGTTCTTTGGCAGGTCGACTCCTTAAAAACATTCACAAGCCTTCTGTTTACATGCAATATAAGTGGTAAATTAGAGGTTAGCCCTGCTTAGTCAACTTGCCTAAGTTTCCTCAACTCGCTACCTCATAAGCTATAAACACTAAACTCTAGACGACTCAAAAGTCACAGCATTTACGGCTGACTTACTCAAGTTCGTACTTAGTGGAAAGTAATGTCTAGACACACACACACAGATGGTTTGGGCTGGTCCATGTTTGAGTTTTAAGTTACCAGTGCATGAGAGAGAGAGAGAGAGAAAGAGAGAGAGAGTGAGAGAGGATTTTGGCTAGGTCTAAGTTTGAGCTTTAAATTACCAGTGCATGATCTGATTCTTTTGTTTCTTCTTACAGCTGAACTTACCGGATAGATTCGATATTTACAGCACAGGGCTCATATTCTTACAGATGGTAAGTCATGGGCCAATTATGCCTAGGGAAAGTATATTACAACCATCTGTTACAGTCAATAGGTACTGAAGATGAACCACAGATCTCCTTGATCAAGAATGGCCCATAATCACAAGACCTGCAGTTCATCTCCACTGCCTGCTTATTCAATATGAATGGTGTTTACCCAGCTGTGCATTCTAGAGCATAGACACTCTGTATGCTACATGTGCAAGAGCATAGAAACTCTACGTATGCTACAGCATGCACAACCTATATTCTTTACTTGCTCTTTATACTTATGTTGTGGTTTCTCTTGGGGTGTGTGCCTACGAGTTGGCTGTTTTTCTGAACCAGGCATTCCCATCATTACGAACAGACAGTAGCCTCATACAATTTAACCGTCAGCTTAAGCGGTGTGGATATGACTTGGTTGAGTGGAGAAAAACCATGGAGCCTCGAGCTAGCCCAGAGCTTCGTAGGGGCTTTGAATTGTTGGATTTAGATGGAGGAATAGGGTGGGAGCTCCTTTTATCTATGGTTCGATACAAAGCCCGACGGAGAACAAGTGCCAAAGCTGCTTTGGCCCATCCTTACTTTGATAGAGAGGGCCTTCAGCGTCTCTCCTTCATGCAGAACTTGAGATTGCAACTCTTCCGTGCTACTCAGCAGGATTACAGCGAGGCCGCTACATGGGTGATTGGGCTCATGGCAAAGTCTGGCACCAAGAAGGAAGGCGGCTTCACTGAAGCTCAACTTCTCGAGCTCAGGGTTAGTTCATTGAAACCTTGAAATAATCCATGATAATTACGTTTTCGATGAGCGCCATATTTTTGAGTTGGTAAATTATATTTAATAATGCAATGGATTATGGGAAACTATAATCCATTCGAGCCAATAACATCCAATGAAATGATGTAAGGTGATGAATAGGGGAGGACCTGTCATATTGATCATATCCTGCTGTAGTCGCCTCTCTCTCAGTCGACATCCATTCTGTCATTAGATGGTTTTCCACGGGCCTGTAGATTATGGGGGGATTTTTCTAATGAGCTTAGCAACTGATTTTCCAATGCTCAAGTTTGAGTAATGGTTTTCCATGGTGCATTTTAATTATCCTGTACCTTCCCTAATGAGCTTAGCATTTGATTTTCCAAAGTTCATGTTTGGACTATGTTTTTCCGTTGTCATTCAAGTACAGTGTAATTTCCTTTATGGATTTAAAATTGATTGTCCAAAGTTTCTTTCAGTTTGTTTGTTAACTATGATTTTGGTTGTGCAGGAATTGCAGCCCAAAAAGAAGGCGAACGTTCAACGCAATGTTTTGGCCTCTCTGTTGAAGCTCCAGAGGAAAATCGTGAGGACGATCAACGAGAGCATGGACGAGTTGAATCAAAGGAGAAAGAGCTTCTGGTGGAGCAGGTGGATTCCAAGGGAGGAGTAAGTGGTGGAGAGAATTTTGTTTATTTCTCATGTAGCATATGTCAAGCTATATTTGTAAATATCATCAAATGACCCCACACTATTGCATTTAACAAAGAACTGAAGGATGTAAAATTGTAAATTCTTTAATTTGGGCATCAAAATCATGTTACGTGATGTATTTTACCTGATGGATGTGTATTCTTTTTTGAGTTCATAATTTCAATTCAGGATTGAAACTCTGGCCTAATTGGTCCATTGTCTATTTGCCTATTTCAACCCGGCTTGTGTCGAACCAGTGTTAAGAACCTGCAACTCGAACTGAGTAAACGGTCTTAGCCCAAGCCAGTTACTCAAGCTGAGTCAAAAAATTATACAAAATATAAATAAAATTCAAGAAAATAAGACATATTTGTTTAAAGTAAGATTAAGTAAAATACTTCAAAATGATGTTAAAAAGTAGTAAAAAATAGATTTTAAAAATCAACTTGTGATGGGGTATTTTCAAAATAATCTAAAAATATAGGTAAATGTAAAAATAAATATTTATGGCCAAAACATCTTTCAATCTTTGTCAAAAAATGATAGAAAACAAAAAAAATATATTCTAAATAAATTCTTTATTTTTTAGGATTTTTTATGATTTTCTTTTGAATTTTTTTTTAATATCTTAGAGTTGGACACTCTACTCAACTCGGCGGCCCGAGCCCGAGTAGAAATTACTCGGTGGAGGATTTTTCAATCACTGTTATGAACTTGTATACTGGAGAGGACCATGTTTGTAAAGCTAGGTTGCCCTCCTCATTCGAGTCTTATATAGAGAATGCGCCTAACATGAGATACTAGTACGCTCTGCTTTTAAGGAAATTAATTCCAAATAATATGTGATGCAGTCCAGCCATGCGTTCAAGTCTGGAGGGAATTTTTCGGCCTACTTTGCATCATAAAAATTAACAGTTTCCGGGTATGAATTTGCATCAATATGTATATACACGAAATAAAGTCGTGACCGTCAGATCGGTTTAGATTCAATCTGGATCGTTGCACTCATATGAGCTAGTAAGTTAATCTCAATATTTTTCATATATATATATATATATATATTCGAAGTACGTTTGGGATGACGTTCGCAATGTGTAAGGCATGTTGTCATTTTTTATTGTCCCTTCGTCCTCTTTTTTTCTTTTTTTTGTGAAATGTTAGCCTTTACTATCTTTAAATAAAAGGTGAAAAGCTCTTAAAAGTGTACAATACAAGGAGGGAGAGGAAGAAATAGAGGGATACAAGCATGTCCTCCCCACTTTGAGGGTATCATCATCCATCACTTACAAATATGGTATTAACTTTATCCTTTAAAGGTCCTACACCAACGACTGCTAATGAAGAGACATCCTCCCCAACGATCTCTTTTGTCCTACCCAAGCGTCTCACAAAGACACCCCTATATAGCATCATCTCTTCTGCAATCTCCGCACGGATGGGGTTGAGGCAGCGTCACAACCTACTCAAAAACGGCAGCACCTATATGAAATATAGTAAAAGCTTGGGAGTGCACCAGAGGGTGGCAACACATATCAAGGACCCAGACTTAAAGATTGGGTAAAAGAGAAGTGGCAAACAAGAGCAGAAAATAGAGGGATAGGTGAAAGGGCTATAGTGGAAAGAAAGGGGAATAAAATAAGAGGAGCCGGAGGAAGCGGAGGGGGATCTAAGAACCACATACCAGCCCCCCTGGAAGCACATACCAGCTTTGACAACTCCCCCTATTTGGCCACACACAAGGTGTTCAGGCCCTCACAAGGAAACATGAAAAAGGGTGACCAGGCTTACTTGGCACACTAAAAAGCCAAACCCATCTTGGGCATTAATCTACCAAGAGAGAAGAGAGTTGAGGAAAACGGAATACGGCAAAAACAGAAAGATCCTGGGCAAAAGACGAAGGGATAGAAAACGGGGATGAGAGGTGGAAGGAGTGGAGTGAAGAGATGAAAAGGGGGAGGAGGGAGAGTCAGGGGAACAAGAAACTAAGAGCTAGAAAACGTGAGAGCGTTTGGGAGAGTGCAAAAGTATGACTGGATTATGGAGAGAAGAAGAGAAAAGGAAGGGTCTAAGGATACAAGAGCTAGACCAGATAGGGCTTGATCAGTTTACGATGAGTAGGTCTTGGGCAGTGGTTGGGTCTTATGCAGCTTAGGCGCCGCCGAGCAAGGTTTGGACAACAGCTGGGGCTTGTGCAACTTAGGCAGCAACGAGCAAGGTTTGGACAACAGCTGGGGCTTGTGCAACTTAGGCAGCAACGAGCACAGTTTGGACTGGGCTTGAATAGTGACAAGGCTCAAGCAACTAGAGAGCCAAGAAGTACTTGATTTGGGCTATAGCAGCAACGAACAAGGCCATGAGTAGCGGGCGAGCTAGGAATCAGTGGTTAGGGAGGTGGATGCCTCAACATAACATCCTACCCTCCATTCCCACAATTGACATATCAAAAAGAAAAATAAGAGTAGCAGCAAGCTGGGAACTTAGGGCTTGAGCAACGAACAAAATGATATGAGATGCAATGGTGAGCCGGTCTAAAGAGACGTGGTGAGCAGTGAGCAAATATGATGAGTAAACAACGGGTAGATTTGAGCAGCAGCAAGCAAGAGAAAGCCATATCTGAGCGGCAGTCCCTTCTAATTGTCATAACTAGTATATTCCAAGGTTCTTATCACCCCTAGAGCTTAAGCTTCTCCTATTTTAATGGAGACATGAGAGACCACGACCTGGATATCTCACCCGAAATAAAAGGGCAAATATACCATACTGTGGAAAGCATATTAGAGCAATGTATATTTCATGCAATCAAACACGCCTCATTTCTTTTCAAAGGGAACCGGTGCCCGGCCCATTTTAATATGGTGGGTAGTTGTGTTCACTTGCTGGGGCATGGGGTATGATACATGCAGACACGCCTCCCCTTGAAGGGAAAGTTTTATCCATGACTCCACCCACATATAAAGCATATGTATCCCTGCTTTCAGCTCTCAGATTTAAATAGATGACCAGTATGACTTGAATCTTAATGTCATAAGTTGGTTCTTTAGCGCCATACAGTGGCACATAATCTTTTATTTTTAATCTTTAATCTATAAATCATTTTTATTCTTCATTTTGCAAGGGCACACAAGATAAAAGTAATATCCTTTGATAAAAAATTACCTGAATACCCCTGAAACTTTTGGGGACATTTTGGTCTTTTGTTTTTTAAGAGAAATATTTTTTAAATTCCTTTTGCTAGGTGCTCCCCAATAAGAAGATGTGACAGACTCCCCAAATTTTACTTGAACAAGTTTTGTAAAAAAAAAAAAAATTAAATTAAATAATATTTTTACATGACATTATGACATAAGTAATCCTAGCTCTTTAATTAAATCAAACGGATGAGAATTGGGGTCACATATAATTTATACGTAGGTGTTGTCACATAGAAGTTTTCCCTCCTTTGATTTGGGTGGGCCTGCAGCGGTAATATTGGACGCCACCAATATGGATCATAGTAACTCTTATAATATACTAAAAAAGAAACAGTTTTTGTTGGGATTAATTTTAAGGGTTTGAACCAAACTTGGGTAGGACCCAGTTGGGTCCTAGTTCTCAACTCACCTAGGCCAATTCGGGCGAGTCCGAGTTAGGATCTCGCCCAAGTTGGGATAGAAAAGTTTTAGTAAAAAATTTTATTGTCATAAAAAAAAAGAAAAAAAAAGAGACAATCCATCATTTTTAAGCTTTTCACTTTGGAATCACCTAGCTTTTAATAAGTTTGACACATGAGATTCGGATTCCTGAATCATACCGGGGAATTTTTAGTCTTTGGTTAGAGGCCCTTGTCCTCCACCCGAAAGTACGTCTTTTTGGAAATCAACGGTATAGAACTTTCCCGGACTTCAGCATCAAAAAACCGAAAGAGAAAAATAAAGAATCATGCTATCAAACACCACTTATGTAAAGTCCAAATTTTTATGGGAGCATGTACTATTATCCCTTGGGAGCTTACTATGTATTTACTCCCTAGGGCATATACTTATTTGGAATATTTTGTTTTTGAAATTTTGGAATTCAGCTAATTATGACTAGATGAATATTTCCATAAAAAACAAATTTGGATTTTGAGTTCTTGAACATCTAGATCATTCTCTCAAAAAATTAGAAAGTTCTAGTACGATCTTAAAGAGGTGTGGTTTCCATAAGGTTGCAATCTTAAACAATCCAACTAAGGTGCACCTTCAAATTTTATCATCATATAAAATTTTGATGTAAAATGTTCTTAGGATCATCTCAAAATCTATTTTTATATCTAATTATAAAATTTTAAATTCTAAAAATGGTTAAAATCAAGTAGATCTATAAACATATGAAAATCTTGAAAATTGACGGTGTAGATAATATGTTGTAAGATGCACTATTTTTGAGACTCAAAATCTTTTTATTTTTCATAGTTATAAATCTTGATGTCATGATGATCAATCAAAAGGTTTTTCAACATTAAAATAACCTTTTCCGATGGATTTCTGAGGTGCATCCATAGTTCTACATTTTAAGGTAGCAACCTTATATAAACTTTTTCCATTTTAAAATGACTTTTTTTTTAAAAAAGTGTTTTATATAAGGTTGCAACCTAGAATCAAAGTGCACCTAACCAATCCATCATAAAAAAATTGGTTTGATGTTGGAAAACTCTCTAATTGATCATCTTGACATCGAGATGTATGAATATAAAAAGAAAAAAAGATTTCGAGTCCTAAAAATAATATATCTTGCAAAATATTTTTGGACCATTAATTTTTAAGATTTTCTAATTGTTTATAGATCTACTTGATTTAAACTATTTTTGGAGTTTAACATTTTATAATTAGAGATGAAAATAGATTGTCAAACCATCCTACAAAATTTTTACAACAAAATTATATTTATAATAAAATTTGGAGGTGCACCTTAATTTGATTGTTCAAAATTACAACCTTATACAAACCACACCTTTTTTTAGGCACATAGAGGGAGAATTATTATTATTTTTTTATTTGAAGTTAGTTGTTGGGTTGTGCTCATAGTTAGCAAGTCGTCATTTTAAACTTGACTTTTTAAAAAAAAATCGATATTTTTTTGAAAAATATTTTCATCAACACCAATTTATTTTTAATTTTATGGTGAGCCAATATATTGATATTCCCATACTTACTAACCATGATTCTACTAAAGTTCCACATCTCAAATTTTGGGATCTAAAAGTTAATTCAATTGTATGTTCTAAAGATAATTCAAGTTAATGTTTTGGCCGAGACAGTATATGAATAGCACTCTAGCGGAGTAGAAAATCTTTTGGTAATTTTTATTTCTCGTGGTCATAAATAAAGATGGCAGGTTTTGTGCCATCCATTCAAAATAAAACTTATAAACAAATATAAATATAAACATATGAATTTTTGAGGTGTGCCTTAATTGGATTGTTTTGGGCCTCGACGGCTCAACTTTATATGAGCTTTTTCCAATATAATGTAAACAAATGAACTGAGTGGAAGAAGCAAAGGGAAGGGGAGGAAAAGGATGGCGGTTTCAGCAATGGAGAGCGCCGCTGTGACTGCGCTCCGCTCTGTGATTTCCCGCGTCCAAATTGCCGCCGAAAGGTCTGGCAGAAGCTCCGATCAAGTAAGCTTTAACCCCCCCCCCCTCCTCTCTCTCTCTCTCTAACACTTGATCTCTGTCTCTCTTTTTCCTTTCTCCCTATTCTCTTACATCAGATGAATCCGTCAGTCTGAAAAACAAATTTATTCCATGCGAAGATGAACTCTTATCTTTCACAATCTCTCTTTCTCAAAATCTCTGCTGTATTTGTCTCCCACTACTTGTTCTTTGTTCTCTCGTTCTCTCTCTTCTTTCTGTACAAGCATGGATTGATTTGGTTTGTGGTGATTGATTTGGGCAGGTGAGGCTGGTTGCAGTGAGCAAGACGAAGCCAGTTGAGCTCATTCGCCAGGTCTACGATGCAGGGCACTGGTCCTTTGGTGAGAATTATGTTCAAGAGCTCGTTGACAAAGCACCTCAGGTCTCTCTCTCTCTCTCTCTCTCTTGCTATCCTCTGTATTGCTTATAAATTCCTATTCATCTTCTCACATTGGAGATGAGCCTCTCATTCTGGAATATGACTGGTGTTGAATCCATTGGAAACTGCTCCTGCTATTTCATAATGATCTTACTGCATTTACTGGAGCCTTTGTAAACTATCAATATCTCAACAGCAACAACGTAGTAGTAGAAGCTGCAACAGCAACAAAAAAAAACAACAAGAACAGCAACAACTACAACAACATGCCAATAAAAAGAATATTTCTTGTGGAATATAAGGACTTTTTGGATTGATGGTGAAAAATTTGTTAGCTTTGGTGTTTTGGGCTTTTATAATGCGGTGTTGATGCCTGTATGGGATGAATTTGTAAGGTGCAGAATTGGCTGTATTTTTCTTTCATCAGTCGTTTACATTAGCATGACTAATCTATCAAGACTTCTAGAATTTCAGAAGCTAAATCAGTAAATCACTAACATGGGATGAGTTTCGATCCAGATTAGAATCGAGATTCAAAGCAGTTTGGATTTGAATTTGGACCCATATGAAGCGGTATGTGCCTTTGATACTGCAGGTGTCGGCATGGAGTACTCAATTTTTAATCTTGCAAGGGCAAGTTTTCTTGTTTTAATACTCTAAGGCCTTGCAAAAGAAGTTATGCTTGCCATTGATACCAGCAAACGAATGAAACTTTCAAGAAGTTGACCTCAGACTTTGGTATTTGAATGTTGAATGGAACCAAAACTTCGGCAAGGCATTCATCAGATTATTGTTTGGAGCACACATGAACTATGGAAGATGATCGTCTCCAGTTCCAGTTTCCAAATAAATCAAATCAAAATTCATAAATCTTTCAGCCGATTTATAAGTTATATATATATGCATCTAAAATATTAGTATGTATAACTTAGTTGATTAGTTATAACTTAGTTTGATTAGTTCATTGTTTGTTGCATCTACGAAACACGTTGCTTGTTGTTTAAGAATCTAGATTAAAAAATAATCGAATTAACTATCGTTATATGTAGAAACCAGTTTCAACAAGTGTAGAATCGAGATTCACCAATTGCAGTATCAAGAATCAGTAAATCTTGGAAACGAGATTCTATAAGTGTTGGACTCAAGATTTCCTAAATAAGGAATCTATAATCCAGACTTTATAGAAACGGGTTCCATGAAGATTCCTAGCCAAAATCGCCGAGTTGGGGTTCTGAATCAGAATTGTGACCTTTGGTGAGAGATTCAAGTAACTATAGTATGGAGAACTTTAATACTTGCATTATATGGTGTTTTGACCATTTTATGATAAACTTAAAATTGTTGCAACTTCATCCGTATGTTTCATTAAATAAAGCGTGGTTAGTCTGGTACAATCATCCACAAAAGTAACAAAAACGAGCAAAAAAGGATACAATTGGGGAAGGCCTCAATACATCGGAATGTATAATAGAAAATGGAGAATCACTGCACTACTTTTATTACTTATAGGAAAAGATGTTCTACATTGTTTCACTAGTTGACAAACCTCACAATATAATTGAACGTGACCCCACAAAGGAAAACTTTGGGAACACGATATGCAAAACAGATGGAGGAGCATGGCCAAGATGGGTGTGCCGCAAATACACCAGTTCTTTATTGGCAGTGCTTGACACGGCAGTAGTTCGAGTAGCTGTATGAGCCGGTTGTGATGTCACTAGAAGGTAGAACCCTTTATCCTCACGACCACACCCAAATATCTTCCCTGTCACCAAGTCCTGAACGACACAATAACATCAGAAAAAGGTTATCAACAGTTCAATGTTTTTGTAACATCACTAACAGACAGGAGATTATCAGATAACTTGGGAACATGTAAAGTGGACACCAAGTCTATGGAGGAATTACTGGAACAATCCCTTTCCCAATAATGAGTACAAGGGATCCATCAACAATCTTTAAAGACTCATGGTTTTAACAGGTGGTATATGTTGAAAAAGGATTAGACATACCAATCATATATTCAGTAGCTCCTAAATCAATAAGCCAAGGATTCTAAGAAGTTATGGAAACATGGTTAGCAGATGCATATGTACCTGATTGGGCAAGATGGGAATTGGAGGAAGGTGAAAAGGGCTCCAGATCATGAGTGAAGGCATGCTGCTTGAGATCCAGAAGCTCTTGCTTGGACATGGTTACAAAATCTTCCTCGGGTAAAGAAGAAGTTCAGTCACAAGTTGAATAACTAGCACTATCTTGTTGTCGAGGCATTGTAGTTTCCTCGTCAGTCACTTTACCATAAGCATTAGATGTATTCTGTCTAGGCCGAGTAATAAGATTCCAACACGTTTTCTTAGTGTGTTGAGATTTCCCACAATGAATACATTTCAAGTTATCGTTCTCGTCAGCTGTAAAGCCCCTTTGGCCACCACTATGTCCTTCACCTCGACCACCACACTACGGCCACCACCATGATTATTGAAAGAGTTGGAAGTTAAAGCTCATTTTCTGGTTCACCAATAGGTACAACCATAATTTTACATCGAGTTTCTTCATGCTGAAGCAAGGCAAAACGCTTTCCACCCTCTAAAAGATCAAATATCTTATTTTGTTCAACCTTTCTCTATGCTCTTTCCCACCATGGGAGCAGTTTATGAGTTGGTAGTGGTTTAACTGATCCCATAAACTCTGTAATGCATCATAATAATCACCAACTGATAAGTCTTTTTTGTTTAGAATTTCTAATTTGTTGTTCCAAATTATATATTTTTGTATATTCTTTTTTTGAGAGTAGGTCGGTTACTGCATCTCGTAACTCCATTGAAGTGTTACAATTCATAAATGTGCAGCTCAAATTCGATTGTATGGAGTTTAAATGGATATGACCTTTAATAGAACAGAATGGAGAACCAGGATTCATGTAGCCAACCCCAATTAATTGGGAAAAGGCTACAATGATGATGATGAGAGTTCAAAGTCTAGTTCATAATAATCATCTCCTCAGCTTCCCAATCAGCATAAGTGGATTCCTACATCTGGTTTCACTACATGACCATAAATATAACCCAACTTCTTCTTGCCTTCAAGAAATAACCTCACAGTTCTGGCCCCATCCAAATAGTTATTGTCATCAAATTTTATTGTACTGATTTGGAGCCCAAAGTACTCCGGACTTGATGCTTGTTGTGACGTTGTTCCTTTTTAAGGCACAATAAAAACAAATTACGGTGTTGCTGAAATCTGGATGCACCCACAAATTTCTTTCCAAACACTCTTCATAAATACCAAAAGCACTAAACAGTGCATTGGCCAATCAATTATACAATTGTGGCTACCAATTTCAAATGTACCATGGCTGATGCGCTATTTAATTTGCATCAAACGGCTTTGGGTTGTTCCCAAAACATAAAATTTTGATATACACTTCAAGTTTCTCATAAGAAAACCAAAAGAAACATAAAAAAGACCTTAATCAATGGGTCACAAAACACTTAATATTTTCCTTTTAATCAATGGGTCACGAAAACCCTAATTTTCCTATCTTTTTAATGGGTCACGAAAAAACCTAATTTTTCCTTTCCTTGTTTTTCCTTGTGGGAGCAAACCCTAAAATATTTATACCTTTTGCCGGAAAAATCAAGTTCAAGAACGAACCATTAAAAATAACACTTCTTTCATAAAGAAAACTTTTTGTAACTCACAATCTTCAAAAGGTAGCCTTTTTAGGGTTTCTTCATTGCTCAATTTTCTTCCATCGAGTGGCCATACTGCTGAACCTAGTTGCTCTATGGCCAATATTTCACACCATCTGACTCTCAACCTTGCTCTGATACCAAGTTGAAAAATATTCAAGTTATATCTTCTATAATGGTCTAACTAGCAATTGCCTTATGGAGGAATAGAATTAAGGAGGTAGAATGGGTGCAAGAAGAGAGAAAGAGAAGAGAGATTGCATAATGTAGGGAGAGAAAAGAGAGAGTTGCGTGCAAGAGAGAAAGTGACGTGACCCCCTTTTGGGAAATTCATATATTTTATGTTATTATTAAAAGATAGAAAATTACAGCTATGCCCTTGTACAAATTTATAACCTTGTAGACTCCACAATTTCAATTATATCCCTAACTTTACTGCTGTATGCTCAACACACACACTCTCATATTTAGATGGATGACCTCAAATTCAAGAACGACATGTGGTATTCATAACGACGCATTTGCATCTGGCAAAACTTTTAAATTAGCCATGGGTTAGTGGGTACCCTGAATCATGACTTGGTTTCTCACTTAGCTCCATCTCAAGTCTCGTTAAACCTTACTTTTGAAATTCATCTTAAAGTCCTATATCCAATTAAGAAAGTATCACTTCTTTGCATCCTCAACTTTCATTTGCATCATATTCTGCACTTATCATACTTCTCTCTTTGATATTTTGATCATGAGCTCACTTCCTCGCCCGAGAAGGCAAAAGGTCACTTAGGATGTAATTCATGTTCTTGAAATAATCACTAAGGAACCAACCCAAATTGTGTACAAGGAAATGGTAGTTGGATTCAGATAGTATGCAAGATCAGGCAACTAGTTGACGAGTCTATCAGAATCAGAAAATACAGTTTGGTTGGTTGCCAAGCATATGTATAGAAATACACAAATGGCTATTAGGAGAACTTTGTACTCATGGTATAATTGATTCCAATAATTGTTGGGGTTTGTGGGCGTTAAAGGCCATGAGAGCATGTAATTAAAATTTATAGTGGATTATACATTTCAGGTGGGAGTGTGCCTGGGCAGTGTGGCACTACCGAAAAGGGTTTATAGAAGGTCATTCTTTGTTAAGGTCGAAGAGATGCCTAGGGATGGATTGTAGGTTGGGAGAGCTGTGTGGCTTTCTATGTATAAATGTAGGCTTGTGAGAGCGTGGGCTAAATCCTCAATAAACTTCCGCATGGCAGTGTACATATGACAACCACACTAATGAGAAGCAACCCTAAAAAGGGATACGTGTATAGGTAGAGTCGCCCTTACACTATAGCGACATGTGCTTGACTTGCTCTTAAGGCGGGGAATTGTAATCCACATTGGGATTGTGGTTCCACTGGTTATTGGCCTGCTTTGACGAGTCAATCATGAACTCTCTCAATGAGACTGTGGGTTATGGTTTTGTTGGATTGGTTTGAAAAGTTAGTAGTGGATCATGGTCAATGGGTTGGGTAAAGTGCCCTTACAATCACTTATTTTCACCCATTGATATCAGTCGACTTCTAGATATTTTTATTTTCAGCATTAGAAATATTGTTGTCAATTTTAGAAAATTTAAGAATTTTTTTAAAGCTAATTTCTGCTGTAAATTCCTTAATAAGGTATTTCTAAAATATCGTAGCGTGTAGGGCCACATTTGGGGCCCATGGGTCCAACCCCAGATGTGTACCACACCCCATGGGTGGGGTGTGGGGTCCATGGGGCCCACATGTCGCCCATAGGGTTCCACACCCTCTCCTTGCTTGTTTTAGATTTTTGTTTTTAATTAAAATGTGTTTTAAGTTAGTTAGATAATGTTTTAAAAAGAAAATATTATATGTGCTTATCTTGTGGGAGTTGGTTTTGACTTAAAAATATTATTTCGACTTCTTACAATTTTAAAGAGTTAAATAAGTTTTAGAAGGTTCTTTAGGTTGGTCTGGTCCTAATTAGACTTGAATTGGATATGGTCAAATATTGAGGGGATAAAGTTTCTAATATTCATCCTTAAATCATGATGGCTGATCTGATTTATATCATGGATGGCTCAGATTTAATTGTCTCACCTCACAGATTTCCGACATTCCTATTGGTCAAGGTGAGTCACAATTGGATAGGCATATCTTTTTTTTTTTTTTTTGGGGTTTGGGGAGGGGGGGGGGGGTTGGTTGAGGCCTATATAACGAAGGGAACCCCTCATTTTCTACACAACAACTTCCTTAGCCTGTCTCTCTTATTTTCTCTCTCTCTCCCCTTCACGCATCTATGCTCGACTCAACTCTTCTATCTATCTCTCTCCTCTCTCTCTTTAGGTGGCACGTCACCCCATAAGATAGAAGGGGTGGCATGCACCACCCTTGTGAGGGTTTGAAGAGAAAGGGTCATGCTCAGCCCTAGAAAAAGGATGTGCTTTTGTGGCATGCCCTAATTGTCCTAAAAGAGGTTCCAATAAACTCCAATCATGTTTTATGCTCTCTAAAATCCTAGTTTGAGAGGTATTGCCTAAGAAGCTTCCTTGCTCTGAAATTCAGCAAGACCAATAATAGGATTGAAGTGTGTCGTCCGTTAGGAAATCGGGTGTGGGATGTACTAAGTCCTATGGGGGTGTCTCTAGCCACACTTGAGTAAGTCTTACCACTTGTTGGCTTTTATTTTACAGTCATATTTGCATATTTATTATGTAATTCTAGGAACATTACTTGTGCTTAAATTTTTAGTGGAAGCTTGAATTTCATTCCTGGCTTGTCTATTCAATTTGGCAATAAATGGCAATAAAAGGAAAGGTCCTAGGTTGTATTTAGGGTTTTGTTTCTTATTCACAACAGTGTCTTTGTGGCACTTGTAAATGGAATTCAGATTGATTAATAAAAGAAAAGAGAAATTTCTTATTTTATTTGCCTTGAATTCCACATAGCCATTTCTTGCAATAATATGTACTATCTTTTGTTGCAATGTATATTTCCCTGTTCGTCATTTCATTGTCAATGGCTTTCTTCTTGGGCACCTAAGAGAAGTAGTTACATTTTCTACCTCCATGAGGGTTGTCAAAATAGTTTGCTAACAGATCCTATATATGATTTGAAACACTCGTGCTGAATTTGCAGTGTTCAACAATGCATATTAATTCTCTGGATCAAAAGACCTTTGTTAGATCACTTTTTTCTTTATGAAAGATCCAATTTAGTTAGTCTCCTCTTTGTTATATTGATGACAATTTTGTGACTCAAGATGGTGCAAAGTTATAGTTGGAATTTGCTAAGTTTCCTCCTACAAGGCCCTCAAACCTGGGCACCATAGCCCCTTGATTACCATCTGTGTTGTCAGTCCCTATACCTCCTAAAGTACAAGCCCGCAACTGGCTTTTGCTTTCCAAATTCCAGTAGAGCCCTTTCGGCTGATCAACTCCAATGGAGAGGTTTCCATCTTCCAAACCAGTTCAAAGAGGTCGAAAAGTCAAACAACCACCTCTTCATTGTGTGGTAGCGACCCATCTTTAGGCAAACTTACTACAAATTTGGCCTGGGAATGGTCAACGCGCACAATCCAACAATTGTTTCAAGCCTTATTTTCCCCTCCATACCCTGCAATGGACCTCTTTCTATATCGAGCCTTAGTGTTGGCCATCATCTGTCATCTAGCTGGGAAGGACTGACCGCATATTTAAAGGGAAAAGATTGAGCCAACTGGCTTTGCAAGACCACATCAAATCTACCACCATTTTTTTGAGCCAAGAGACCACATAGGACGCCAAAATTTCTCCACAAACGATTATGTTTCAAATTGGATGAATATCCTTTCCTTCAGCCTATTTAGACCATTGGAACACGGGTCCAATGGGCTTAACGTCGACGGTGCTCTCAATGCAACTTCCCATCTAGTAGGCATCCTTAGAGACAATCAAGGAAATAATATCTCCTATTATTCAGGGTACATAGGCATTGTCGCCTAATCAATGGCTGAAACCATCAGACGCCTCGAAGGCTTGAAAGAAGTCAGCCAAACCAAGGACGAAAGCAGCCCACTCATTGCTGAAGGAGACTAAAGAATGTCAATGTTTGGGCATCCAAAAGAGCTCAAAGCCCACGGGGATTAGTTCCTTTGTATATAGTATTCGGTGTTTTGAGTCGTGTGATTGAGGGAGTAATGTACCATATGCTCGTGCATGAGCACAATACATGTGCTCAATCGTTGATTACAAACTTAGTCAAAATGGGAAATCTAGCCAATCCTTGAATGTTAATAGTATAGATTTTCGAAGGGTAAATCTTGCCCAGCATCGAGTGCTAGTTTAGAGAAGGGTACTGTATAATTAAGGTATAGTGGTGCACTGTATACCACAATAATGTTGTTTACTGAATTCGGTATGAGATCTTGCTCCAAAGAGATCAAAAATTCAAAGGCTATCTCAATGCCATGAATTTTTATGACATTGATACCTTGGAACTGGATATGGACAGAGTTAAACATGCTATCTAATGGAACTCACTCCCAATTTACAATATAGGGAAATAGTGTTCTTCGGAAATTTTGATCCTAAGAACGGCACATCATGATCCCTTTTGGTAGGGAACTCGCTTCCGTCCAGATAGTAATGCGCTCTGTAGAAGTCATGGAACTCGCTTCCATCCCCAGGCCATGTACGGAGCTCACTCCACCACTAGGTAACTTCGAGCTAGACTCGCTTCGTGCTCCCGTTCCCATTCTCGAAACTACTCACGTTCCGTTCCCGGTAACTAAGATCTTATATATACTTGATAATGAGATTTTGTTTTTGATGTCATACTAATTTGTGGAAATCGAATTGCCAATTCTCTTTCACAAATAAGTGTCAAGCTCTCACACTAGGAGAAAAGCAAGTTGTGTAAGAATCCCTAAATTTTACAATATATTACTTAGTTGGCATGATATCTACGTCGACCCCATGTTGATCGAATCCCTTACGGTGCACCTATGAACCCTGACATTTGATGTTGTTGATTCTGGATTCCAAATAACTCAGATAGATATTCTTAAAATTGGCTAGATTCCATGTTGATCAAATTACTTATGAATCATGGTATTTGATGTAGTGGAAACTGGATCCCAAAAACACTGGATCGAGATGCTATAAAGGTGAAAGTGAGATTCCTAACTTTGCGGAATCAGGATTCCATGAAGAACTATTAATCGAATTGCCGAATCGAGATTCTGAAGCGGAATCACCACCTGGGGTGGAAGATTCTGGTAACTATGCTTCAAATCAGTTTAGCAAGTTAATCCTCATCCTCCATGGATAGAGGTGTCATTGAACTAATCATTGATTTAATCGCATTGATGTGACTTACTCTAGTCAGCAGGTAAGGTGGTGTAAATTGATTAATGAACTCTTCTGTAGTTTATTATGGTAGTAAGACTATTTTATGCTCTGATAACTATTATTCAGTTTTTATTTGTTGGATTTGTTACTTGTCATCGAAAATTTCTGTGCAAATTGTTCTCCTTTATTAGTGGATCATTCATCCGGATGCTTGATGATCCCTCCATGAGTCTCTTTAGCAAAGAACTATTGCATTGATGTGTTAAGAGATTTTTTCTCATGCAAGAATCAAGACAAAGCTACTTGTATAATATATGGTATCTTCTGCAGCTTCCAGGAGATATTGAGTGGCACTTCATTGGGCACTTGCAGAGCAATAAAGCAAAGACTCTTGTCAGTATGTCCTTAATTTCATATGATTATCATGGGCTGATGCGTATCATTCAAAAAGTGCATATAAGCTGATTCTGACTGCTAGTAAACTGTGATGAAAAGAATCCAAATCTATAAAACTGCAGATTATGGGAAAGATAAACTACAGCTATTTGCTTTATTATTATGTAATATTGATTGTTTTCATATTTTTTACTGTTTAACTTGTCTATTTTGTATTATCGCTCTTCTATTTATGTTTTTGGTGCTTATCTTTTGTTTGTTGAATCTATTCCTTGATTGGGGTCTCTGCAAGATAACTGCCCAAGAGAAGGAAAGGGAAAATAGAATGTAGCTTATGGGGGAAAAGATTAAGAAATCACCACTACGTGGTAGCTTGGTGTTGATTGCTCTTTTGTGTTCCAATGTTCTTGCATTAGTTCAATTTGTAAAGATTCTTGAAGAGGACCTCAATTTGTGCTCAAAAGTTCAACTCTGCCTTCTGCTACCCATACAACTCTAGGTGCTGGGAACTTTGATTTTATTGATCAAAAGAAAGATAATTCAAGGGGGTGCTTGCCATTTATTTCAGGGTTGTGCATGTAAAGGTCACAAACCCATCATAGTGCCTGTGGTTTGATTTCAGGAATAAATGCCCTTTACATTAGGAAGAGTGTGGACTGATGGCTTGAAGGTTCAGTGGGTTAAGGATTGAACATCTTTCACTTTAATTCCTAGTTCTCACATGACTGCAGTTGCATGACAGTTAAACAGGACAAACATGGAAACTTTAAAGATCATTTTTTTTATTTTTTTTTGAAGTGTAAAACTTTGAAGATCCTTCACACCCTGTTTCAGTATTTTTAAGACTCCGAAGTGTGACATAATAGTTCCAAGGGTAGAACACTCCAATTATTAATAAAAAGTACTTCGGGTAGGAAAGAAGCTATGCTAGCATGGGATGTGCCAGGAAGTAGGATTGTAGGTTTACTGACCCAGTTTGCTCACTTGATTTAGAAGCAGATGCCATCACAATAATTAAGCTCTATGAGAAATGGTTTCATGATTTTGGAAGTATATGTGTAGAGATTTTGGGATGTATATCATCATTGAATCAAAAGCCTAAACACAAAAATATATGCTCCTTTTTTTCTATGTGCTGATTGCTGAACGAATAACATGTGGCCCAGCCCTTGGGGACTACTGACCAAAATACTTTGGGCTTGTGTGTTTTCAGCAACTAGAAAGTGACTTCTCCGGGGTCATGAATGTCCCCTTTTCTTGTTTTTATTGCTTTTTTTCAACTTGAGATACACATCTCCTAGAGGAACAGAATATAGTAATCTTAGAAATATCCCCTTCTTTTGTTGTTGTTATCACATTTAGTACTGTCTATCTGTGTCTCTAGACCTCTCACTATTGGACAGTTTTGTTCTTCGCCCATGCAAATACTCAAGTTAATGCAGAGCCTAGAATATCTAGAGCAATGACGAACAGAGGCCAGAGGCCAATTCTGGGGAACTTGATGAAGTAGCATCCCTCCTCCAATCTACTTGGTGCTTGGGAGGTGATTTTAATGTCACCTGCTGGTCCTTTGAATGTAATGCTAGTTACAGAATTTCCCGAGGGATGATCGACTCCTCAGCTTTCATATCCAGAAACGATCTCTTTGATGTTCCCCTCCAGGTTGCTAAATACACTTGGTCGAACCAACGATCTCTCCAAACTGGATCGTTTCCTTTTTAGCCCTCAGTGGGATGCCGTTTTCCTTGGCTCCCATGCCTCTGCTCTTCCTAAACCCACCTACCACAGCCCTATCCTGCTGGATACCCAACCAGCAACTAGAGGTCCCAAAGCATTCCAATCTGAAATGGTGTGATTAGAGGAACCTCATCTTCTCTCCCTTATTCCAATCTAGTGGAACTCCTTTTCCCCCCTAGTCCTTGGAAGAGAGGGCTTCAGAATTTCACGCAAACTCCAGCTTCTCTAACTCTCTTTGAAGGAATGGAGTAGACACCTCCCAGAAACTTCCACACCCAAAAAGCCTCTTTGCTTCAGTCTATCCAGGGCATCGACCCCATGAGGAAGTCAGACCCCTGTGGTTCTGCCCCCCAGAGAGATTGCGGAGGTCCTAGCTCAAACATGACTATTAAATTCTCATAAAAAAAGAAATTTTTTGGCATCAAAGGTCTAGGGTGAAGTGGCTCCATCATGGGAATCTCAATTCTGCTTTCTTCCATAAAATTGCTAATTGTAGGAGACATGATAACATCATTACCAGTATCCAAATTGGAAACTCAACTTTTGACCAACCAGCCCAATTTGAGGGTGCCATGATTGATTAATTCAAACAACTATTTTTTGCCCCTTCTTGCCCCAAACCGAGGATGGCGGACGTTTCCTTCCTCACTCTTCCCTCGGACCAGGCTTCTTGGCTGGAACGCCCATTCTCGGAAGAGGAAATCTTCATAGCAATAAACAATCTTGGCTAGAACCGAGTCCTGGGCCCTGATGGATTCCCGGTGGCCCCTTTCAAAACCTTTTAGAACTCATTCAGGAACAACCTCCTCTCCTTCTTTGAGGAAGTCTTTGCCAGGGGCATTGTCCATAGGGCAATGAATGGCCCACTTTTATTGCCCTTGTTCCCAAACTTGAAAGAGCCGAAGAGCTGAAGGATATTTGCCCGATCAGTCTCATCAACACGTCCTACAAGATCCTCTCCAAGGCTCTAGCTACCTGACTCAGGGAGGTCCTTTGTCACCTCATCTACCGTTTCATGTCTTTTGTTAAAGATCGCCAAATTCTTGACGGAGCCTTAGTAGCCCATGAATGTATCCACTCAAGGCACCTTCTTATGGGGTAATTATTAAACTTAATTGGGAGAAGTCCTATGGCCATGTTGACTGGTCAATTCTGGATGAGACCCTCTCGAGAATGGGGTCCGGGGTGCTATGGTAGACCTGGATGAGAGGTTGCATTTCCATTCCTTACTTTTCCAATCTTATCAATGGCTCTTGTAAAGGTTTCTTCCCCTCCTCTAGGGATCTTTGGCAAGGGATCCCTTATCCCACTTCCTAATTACTATCGTTGTTGAGGTATTCAGCCAATCCAATACATTACTCGTATGTTCCATTCTGGTCTATTGAATGGCTTTAAGAGTGGACCTAAGGGCCCAGTCATCACCCACCTATAGTACGTAGATGACACCTTTGTGTTCTGTAGAGCATCCCATCAGGAATTAGATTGTCTTCTCGTTTTCCTCAAATGGTTCGAGTTTGCCACAGGCTTCAAGGTCAATCTTGCCAAGTCAAAGATGATTGGGGTGGCCTTGGATCTCCAAACCCCACAAGACCTTGCCACCAGCTGGGGATGTGATGTAGAGAAATTTAAGGGAACAGTAAAATCAACAAGAAACAAAGCTAAACACAAGCATAAATCGAAAAGACTACAGGTTTCTTTTCCACACCCAAGCTAGGGTTGCAAAAGCCTAAGCTTTTCTCTCTTTCAATTTCTAAAATCACGTGGATTTTTTTTAAAAATCATGTGGAATTTTACCCTCTCAAGGAATCACACATCTCTGATATAATATAATTCAATATTCAAAGACATTACATATTCATATAATGATTAAAATGACTTATATATCCTAACTTAAATTTCATAATGACAGCTTTACCCCTGTGAACAGTACTCATGAATAGTACTTACAAATGTTACTTATGAAGTAAATAAAAAAATAAAAACCCTATAATTCGTAAATACCCTAGAAATAAACCCTAAAACCAAAACTCTAATATACATCATTTGAAGTTGAATAAAAATAAAAAATAAGAACAATTTTTCCCTCCATCATTCTCCCTTGGTTGGAGAAAACTCATCCTCGAGTTTTGAAGTGTGCTAAGATGAAATTAGCATTAATCCGGCAACATTCTTCAACTCGAATATTGTTGATCCTGGGACTTGTGGGTTACATCACTGATCAAAACATAATGATTAGGCATTGGAATTAAGAAACCCTCGAGGAAAGGGTCACTGTATGTAAATCGAATATTTTTAATCACATAAACTTGTTGAAATTGCATCACTTCAGCCGTGTAACCTTGCTGAATTTGCCTTGACTCAGCTCTAGAACACACCACGGGTGCATCTTTGAGGTCAATCACTAAACCAACACCTTCACCTATTGTTAACAACTTCAAAAAAAAAAGAAGAAGCACATTCACCTATTAATTCTCCTTTGAGTCCATCTTTTTCCTCGTCAAATGCCAATTCAACCACAAAATCTTGATTATCATCGTATATTAGATCTCCTACTAGATTTTGTTCTTCATCTAAGTATGCGTCAAAGATTGGTGGTAAATCCCAATCTACATCCAACTAATTTTTGATATGATATGCGTCAAAATCGTGAATCTCATCCTCCAAATCGAAAACCCTAGTGTGATGTTCCCAACATCTAGGTCTTTTGTCACTATCCTCATCACTCGACTCCCCATGTGGAGCGCGAAAGTTAAAAGGGCTTGTACTCGAGATCCTCTTGGGCTGAAAGATCTCCGTCTTGCCCGTTATTGAGGCTCACAAACTGCTGCGCCAATTGCTTAACTTGCATTTCAAGTTCCTCAATTCTGTTATCTATGGGATCACGGGGCGGATCTATGAAAATCCCCTTGTATGTCCCCTTGTCTCTGCCATGGGCTAACCATAATCGCAAAGCAAATAATCAATAAAACTGCTGAAATCAGCAAATCTAGGTTGTTTTGGTAAAACTTTGGCCAAAATTAGCAAACTCTAGACCCCATTGTGACTTCTCCTTTTTGTAGTTGACTTAGGGCACGAACAAAGTGGTGCGACAGTAACTCCGTGTACTGCTCTAGTAACTCCATACCGTACTACAATGACTTTGTACATTGGGATAATGGTTTCTTTGTAGATCGCGGGCTCTGATACCAATTTAATGCAGGGAAAATTAAGGCAACAGTAAAATCAACAAGAAACAAAGCGAAACACAAGCATAAGTCAAAAAAT